AGATCCTTGAAAATAGAAGCTTTTTAAACTCAGTCGAAATTAAAGGAAGAAAGAAAAGTTAATTAAATGTTTTCATCAAAAGTTACCTTTCGATGTGAAAGGTAACTTTTGGTCACAAATTTGTAAACATCACCAGTAACCTCTCTACCGTCGTCACACTTGCTGCAGGCATCAATATAATTCATGCATCGCTGAAAATACCGTTTGACTTTGGCGACATCTCCAGCCTTGTCCAGAAACCCGGAAATTTGGCCACAAGTGATTTTAATGTGTAATCACAATGAAGACAAGCCTCTCTTTTAGCTCCAACCCAATACATATCAATCCAATTACATTCATAGTGGTACTTGGGGTAGAGTTCAAAGATGTGACCCGCCTTCTCCACTGTTTCTTGAAGCGCCGTTTTTTGGGCAAGAAAATCTGGACGACTGGCTAAAAAATGCCTAGCACAGCACATAGATTTTCTGCTCTGGAAAGGATTCTTGCAATCCACCTTCCAATCCTTCCCGTCTAAATCAGCACCGAACCATTGCTTTCTTTAGACAAGAATATTGCGAATACCTGATTAAAAAATAAATAAATTATCTCCTAGCTTTATAACATAATCAATTATTTACCTTTAAAGTACCTTTCTTTACGAGTAATTGTTTTCCCCTTTTTGTCTCTAAGGGTACTCACCTCCTCAAAAAAAAAAAGTTCTGCTTTAAAACCTCTCCGCTAGTCAATGTAACTGTCTGTAAGAGGTAGCGGAATAAGATAGGTTGTAAAACTGAGTTTTATTAATATGTGATTGGTATAGGTATAAATACCTGATACCGAGTTACACAACTATTACACTGTCATAGGACGAAACTTGAAATTTTTCAGTTACTGGCCATATCTTCCCATTCAATGTTGTTCTTGAGGCAACCAGAGCATCCTCAGCAAATGCGGAATGGTTTGAGCTGTTGTCAAACAAAAATACACCAACGCAATTGGGATTGAGCAGCTCAAAAAGCTCAATTGCGTCATCTTTGAGCTGCTCGACCATGTGTTTATAGGTCCACCAACCTTCTTTATCACCACCGGCCTTAGAGTACCTTTTTGAGGTCCAACCGCCACTCTTCATCGTTCCATGACAAGGGCACTGGAACTCACTGATCATGATGGAAGATCCAGGCCGTTTTTTACGAATGTAGTTTTCGTCGCTAGTAAGCCAGAAATCGCTTTTTCCATCGTTTGCATAAAAAAGTGCTTTCATCTTGGGTTACAAAAACAATCTTCTTTTCACCATCTTTCAGAACAATTTCCAACACCTCTTCTTGATTGTCACCTTGGTAAAATTCAGAACGCTCCATGTATTTTAACATGCGTTTACTCCAAGCTTGTTCTATGTTCGACGACATCAGATCTCTCGTGACCATCGAAAAAAAATAGCCTTTTTGTTTTTAAGGTAATAATAGCCCCATTCGTAAAGATATCTGGCCACCGTAGTTTTACCAACGCTTTTAGTAACACCGAGAGTGGCAGGAATAACGTCCTCGTCGATAAAGTTTTTAATATTATCTATGTACTGTTTTGTAATTGGCAGTAGTCTTCTTAATCATATCCAAAACATTGGTCTTAAAGTTGTTATCAGCTAAGAAAGAGAGACGTTTAGCATAAACACCTTGAATATGGTTGGAAAAGACTTGATTTTCATGTTGTTCATTTACCCACTTGATAATTACTTTATGTCTGTAAAATTTGGAGCAATTGGGCCAAAGGGAATTTGCTGATTTCTTAGCTGCCTCGTGTTTTTTCAAACCTTCCAATCGGTTTTGAAAGTATTGCTGTACAGACACATAGCGGATATGATTGTATGAATCCACGTTACTACCATCGACCGATTTGTTTATTACTGGCTCAGCAATGGTTGGCATATACTTCAATAAAAGTCTAATTTTCTCAAGCTCTTTCTTGGTATGAGCCACGTACTCTTCTTTCTCTTCAGCGCGAGAGTCGTAAGAAATAGTGATACCAAAATTCAAAATGGTATCAGCAGGTTCGACAGTCTTTGCTTGCTTTTTTTCTCTCGAAATGGTTACTGCTGAAGCCTTATTGTAATGACCATTTTTAGGTCTTTTGGAATATGATCCATCATCGAAAAGTGCTTCATTGATGTTTTTTGATCTGGCCATACGCTACGTACAGTTGAGAAGATCATTGTTATCCTCTTCCCTTCGCAGACAATCCAATCTTCTTCGACAGCTTCAGCTGTTTGTTCAATAGCCATAATTTTACCAGTTGTATCTCTTAATCGATTGCGATTTGCTAAAGTTCTTTTACTAGATGCAGGTATTATGATGTAGTATGTAGTACAATAAAATAAATAAATTTTTTTCTGGTCAAGAAAGCTAAGCGCGAGTTTTGCCGAGTCGCAGGATAAATAATATCAAAACCCTGTTTTACATCATGTTCAAAATGTCAGTATATGACATAGAAAGCTACTTGAAGTCTCCCCAAATAATGTTAATATATGTTTTAACAACATTTCACGAGTTTTTTTTGATATCTTTATTTTTAGAGCTTCTGAAGGCTTTGGAATGATTGATAACCATAGACGTCTCATAATTTGTCCAATGATGATTGATTTTGAGTTTAAAATAGACGGATAACAAGAATCTCACTTCTTTACGAATAACGTAAAATAAGAATGTTTGAAGAACCCCAAATAATATTAATGTATGTTTTATGAGTATGTATGTACTTTTGGTTTTTTGAGCCGATACTTTTTCGAGCTTTTGAAGATCATTCAAGACTGACATTCATGCCTGGTTTAGTTTACCCATGGAAAATATTAAGACTACGCTTCTCTTATAAATACCGAGAAAGTAACAATGCATTTACAATCAAATTGAAAAGAAAAGTAGTAATCCAATTCCCCAAATATCGTTCCTAAACATATAAATATTAATGACCTTCTTTCCGTTTTCAAATATATTTATTTTTGGGCCTTCTGAACGTCTTTCAATATCTTTTTGAAATTAATCCGATTGTTATAACTAAAGCCGGAAACTCAAAAGAATTTGACAGAAAATACTAGAAACTTAGTAACTGTAGGCGCTATATTATTCGTTGTCGTATGTTACACTAACTTGGATCGGCATTTAAATTATTCACACACATAGACCATATTCTTTCAATATTTCCCCCCTACAGCCAAGTCCCAGCCAAAACATTTAAAAACCGACCAAATTTGAGAGTCTTCAGACGACTCAAAATTAAAGATATCAACTTCGACCTCCCCATTTTTTGTTCATAAACATCTACTTAACAATAAATGGGGACGTCGAAGTAGATATCTTTAATTTGGAGTCGTCTGAAGCTCTTGAAAAAATGTCTAAAATTATGGAACATTTAAGTCCGATCGCACGTTACTCCCTCAACATTTTTTCATGACGGTCCAGCGCCCAATCGTTTACACGATTTGGAACTGCTTCCTAACCTAATTGATCCGGGGTTAAGTTTACCGGTCGTGAGCGAGAAGTTACTAGTTAGTTAGGTGGTTGGCGAGGTCTAGGTGTTGACTCTTGACAAGGTCTCGGTGTCGACTCTTGGCGCGGACGAGGTGTCGGCACCTGGCGCGTACGAGGTATTGGTTCTTGCTGGGTGGGAGGAGAGGGTGATTGTTGTTGAAATGAATGTGGTGGTTGGCGATGAAAGGAGGGTGATGGTAATTGATATAAAGGTGATGTTTGACGAGGGGGAGACTATTGAGGTGGAACAGTTCTTCTTCTACTAGTGGGAGGTTCTAGGTCCTCGGACATAGAAGGTTGAACGTGCTTAAAATTTGATGATGATGGACGGAAAGAGGAAGAGGGGGGCAAAGGGTTTGTTTCTGCACTGGGAACAGGTACAGGTGGTGGAGCTGTAATATCCGTAAAGCGTCTGGTTTAAGAGAAGTAAATATAAAATGGTCTAATTGTAGGATAATCCTGAAATATTTCATCCAAATTGTCATATATCTCATCAGGGGCGAAGCCAGATTCTCCAGTAGTAGATCGTCTGGTCAGTTCTTTCTTGTAATTCTCAACAAGACTCTTCCATTTACTCTTGATAGGCTCTTACTCGCGGGACAGAACATTGGCATGTTGAGTTTTTTTATCATACTTTTTTTTCAAATTACGGTAAGATTCTCCAGTGTCGAAGTCGCTTTCGCTACTTTCAAGAGTAGGTAAGTAAATGGCATAACATTCGATAAGCAACATTGTTTCTAAAGATGACCATGAAGGCCCACGTCTTTCTTGAGAACTGGGAGTGTCTTCAAATGAGAAAACGCCGAAGATTGTCAGGGAAGGCAAATAAAAAAATGAAGTTTTATGAGAAAAATACAAGGAAGAATAAGCGAATATGGATTTTTATATCTTGAAGCAGTCGGGTCATCATAGTATTTCAATATCAAATTTTTACGTCATGTCAAACTTGTTTTTACTTTTTTGTAATTTATACCCCCCATAAATTTTGGCGGGTAATTTTTTTTTAAAGTTTAAATTACTATTTTGAGCGAAATGATCTTCTTCCCAAAACGTGAAAAGCGTTTTGCTTGGGAACGGCCCATGTAAGCCTGGTTTCAATATAAAGATGTAAAGCTAGTATAATTGTATGAAAGCCCTTCTTATGAATCGTCACTGAACAGTCTTACCAGTTACGTTTTACTATACTCCTTCCGAGACATAGATAACTGATTCGTCGTAGTATTTTGCTTTTAAATCTTTGTATTTTATTTTATTTTAGTTGACAATGTATAGTCTGGTGCTCATGTTTTAAGAATTTTTATCTTACTCTTTATCTTTATTTTACGTTACCGGTTTTCATTTGAACAAGCCAGTAATAATGGTGAATCACCTTGTGCACAGACACAAACAGTTCTGATTATAATAAATGGGTCAACGCGTGAGCGATGAATATTTTTACAGGATCATCCATTCTTATGTAATGTGATGATTCCTTTAATATAATCTACGACATTCACACCAATAATGACAAAGACCAAATTCATTGCTAGAGCTAGAGGAAATGCTCCTGCCTCATCCTCAAAAGCATGGGATGTCTTGAAACCTTTCTCGAATGGCACTAGTTTTAAGACTACTGTGGCTACCCAAAGACCGAGCTTCTGCGTTCAAACCAGTTGGCCACGGCTACGGCTTGCCAACTCATCCCGTCACCTAAGGTTTTCTCAGTTACTTTAGTAAGTACTATCAAGCTGCCAAAAAAGATTACCCACAGTTCGGAACCATCACAAGAATCTGAAATTGCAAATGGTAAAGACATCCCCTCTTCTTTCGACAACTCCTGGCTGTCTCATGTCAAACCTAATTTGCCTTGTGACATACACCTGTTATTCTCTCATCCAGAATTTGATTTGGATATGCAAAAGCAACTTCGAGAACAAAACTGACATGATCCGCCTAGGTTTCAGTTGCATGCTACCATGCAAAATGTCTCAGGCCATTATTGAAACCGAACTAGCCCATTGTCCCTGTTCCACCTGTTCCCTGTTCTCTGTCTCCTGTTACACATGTCACTGTCAAACATTAATATTGTTTCGTGTCTAACGTCTCTGTTCCGAATAAGGTATCTCCGTAATCTCTTGTCCTTGTAAAACACATTTAACTTCCGTTTCCTTTGTACCTATGCCAGTTAACTACCTTCTAAAACATTGATAATATCAGCCTATTTATCCTCTGCATCTATCCCCGAAATTATCTGTATCTATACCCGCTACCCCAAAGATGTCCCAAACTCAATATGACCAATAATCTGTCTCTGTAAATCTGATCCCCGAACCCTTGTTTACCCGATCTGTCAATTAATATAAATAACAGCATGTTTATTTATTCTTATTTCTGTATTCAAGATCTTATCTACTTTTCCTGCTTCTTTGAATAAACCTTTTTCTACCTACATTCCTTTTGGCGTTCTTCACGGAGTATTTACGGAGTTAGAAAGCCTAAGGGAAAAGGGTTAAAAAAAATACTATGTCCAACAAAAACAGTGCTTAAAAATATCATCACTTTTCAGAAGTCACACTTTTTTTAAAAAAATTGATTATATAAGCGAGTGATGGGCTGTATGTCCCGAACGGCCATCATGGTATCCATACTATAGCATTTACACGATTTAAATTGATTAGTCAGTGAGGGGCTATATGTCCCGAACGGGCAAACTCAGCATCCATACTACAAGCATTTACATGATTTTAACTGATTAGTGAGTGAGGGGCTGTAAGTCCCGAACGGCAAATAAACAAAAACCTCAGTCCCACGAGAGGGCCGCAGGTCCCGATCGGCAGTGTGAAGAGCGCCTAAAAAACCGGCCGGAGGTCGGTTTTTTTTTTTATATATCCTAATACTAATAGATATAAAATTTTCTCTTTGCCTTGTCCTCATCTTAATAACCATTCTGTTCTGCTCTTGCTCCGCCCCGCTCCTGACGAAAACCGTCGCTTAGATGAATACGAAGCTAAATTTACTGTACTAGAAGCTATCATACAAGATTGTATTATATTAAAAGTCTCAACTTTGGGACTTGAAATCAAACTTTCAGATCAAGCCGCAATGTTCGTCAATCTACAACTCCAGCCTGAAAATAAAAAAGAATCTAATTCCAGCATAAATGTCAATCAACTTAGGGCCCTCGCAAGCACATCAAACTATTTTTTAAAGATCCCCATTAAGGACATTAATTTTTTTTTTTTTTGTGAAAGGTTACAGTTTTTCCAAGTAGAATCTTTTAAAATTTTAATAGTATGTTTGGACGATTAATAACAGCATTGAATATTTTCAGTGCTAAAAAATCCGAATTGTCCAAACGAAGAATTAAAATCTGCCGGCCCCAAAAACCTTCTATCAGAGTATTTAATGTCCAAATCGGATTATTGAAATCACAAATGTTGTTTATTTTTTAATAAGAGCCTTTCATTTTTATCGATTTACTTTTTTTCTAACATCTCCATTTTATTTTACAGATATAAGTTTCCAAAATTATTCAAATGCTGATTTCATCAATGGCCAACGCCCAAACCCTCCTGTGGTAAGAGGCCGACCTAGAGTAAACCCTCCGTCTGCTACACAGATTCCCACTGACGTACCTGTTCCATCCTCTCTACTGGAATGAAGAGTCGTCATATTTCTACGAGGCGTTGTCCAGTAGAATTAAGAATTTCCATTCTATCTTTTTCGAGAAATTCAGACTCTTCGTTGATTTGAACTATTAGGAACTGCAACTGAGACACGATAAACGCAATTTGTTATGGGGTTATCATTCTTAAAATATAATAAAAAAATCGGTTAAACTGAAATTTTGTCTTTAAAAAATAAAGGAACAGATATTTTAGTAATCTGCAAAAATATTATTATTAATCATTCAAATTGGGTCATTTAAAAAGCAACGCCATGGATTTCAGAAAAAGATTTCTTTTGGACGTCTAAAGTAACCTTTCACAAAAAAAAAATTAATGTCCTTAATCGGGATCTTTAAAAAATAGTTTGATGTGCTTGCGAGGGCCCTTAGTGATCTGGCAACTAATGGAAATATCTGGAGTGAGCCACCTCCCTCTTCGTCCGCTCTTAGCACTATCAAAGCCACTTTTAGGCCGAAAGACTCTCCCAGTAAGCCTGGTTTAACCATGGCCCAAAAAGTTTGCTATCAATGCCAACAAGCCACTCAAGCCCAAGGCCCGGCCGAAGAAAATGACAGCTGATGCTATTGCCAGCATTGTTCGTCCATTTTTGAGCGTGATCCCACCAAACCCAATGGTTTTTAATATGTATATACCGTCCGAAATGGAAAGATCATTAGCACGAAAACCCACAGGCGTTTGAACTCATCCGGTGTCGATACAGGACGTATCATTGATATCATTTTTCATGCCAATGGTATTGTTAATGTTCTTGTACACGAGTTGTATACTCCTGTATTCACCAACATTATGAATATAGTCAAGGTCAATGTAACTAAGGTTTTTGATCCTCTAGATCCCTCCCATCTCGCCAATTCATTGTCTTTTCGACCCCAATGAGGTTCGTACCAACAATGCTGCTGACCTAAGCGCAAATCAATGCAAACGCACCCTCTTGTGCCTCCGCAACACTTGTCCTCACCAGGTCAAGGCTGTTGGTCATTCTAAGATTAATTTGGGTTATATCAGTGAAAAGGATCTTTAACAATGCAAAGAAAATTTTTAAACGAAGAGAAATAGTCATTGAAGTAACTTAAAACCAAATACTGAAATCCCTGTGGTAAAATTGCTAACGAAATCATATTTTAAATCTGTACTAACAACTTGGACAGACGACGCAATAAAGTATCTTTGTCCGCTAATTGTCTGGTCAAAATTTAACTCTTTGATTATCCTAACAAAACAAATTTTCACGCGGCTATTGTGGATGAATGTCAACAATTGCAAGATTTAGACTCTAAAGTTTTTGCCCTTTACAAAACATCGCATGGAATTCAAGTCAAATTTTTTCCGAATACAAATTGGCTGTTTAAAAATGAATAAACAGCTAAACAAAACATTTTTCAAAATATGTGTAATCCATCTAATAAGAGTTTTAGTGGGGCTATATTTTGGTAAACACAGTTCGTAATCACTCTATATCATACAAATCTAGGAATTCTGGTCCGTTATCCCTCAAAATCCGTTGACTTCAGGGTACTCCGGTCCGTTATCCCTCGAAATCCGTTGACTTCGGGGTACTCTGGTCCGTTATCCCTCAAAATCCGTTGACTTCAGAGTACTGCGGTCCATTATCCGTCGTTATGCAATACCTCCGAAAATTCAGGTCCGTTATCTGTTCAGATCTGTCACTTTAGGATCCTCTGGTTACATTGAACTACCAACCGAAAGAGATTACAAAAAATTAGAAACGGTTCTAGAATGTTCCATGAATTCTAAAGCTGTATAGGATTATCGGAGTTCGTTTCACATGTAAGATAACTCGCAAATTATATGAGAATATCCTTAAACTTGGGTTGGATTTCAAAAACCTATACACAGAGACATCCAAAGTTTCCTAACTATTTGACTTTTTGATATTTTGAAAAGAAATCACATGTTGATAGCATAGGGACACTTTGGAAACATTGTTATTTTTTTTTTTTTTGTTATTATTAGATTGTTAATCGGGCTAAAAGCGTTTCATAAAAAACGTATAAATTACTATCACTCTTGTAAGAAGTTATTAGAATTTTTTCCATAAGAGCATCCCCAGCAGTGGCGCTTAAAATCCGTTTTTCGGTTATATAAGCGCAAAATAGTAGTTTTTCCACCCCCAGCAGTGGGCTTAAAGTTGTTTTATCTAACCAAAATTTAAAAAAAAACCTTAAAATTTCGCTAAAGTAACAGATTTTTTAACGTCAAAAAAAATTCGTCTTTGACAATAAAAAAATTACCCCTTTTTAAAAAAATTAACTCAAAGAAATGAACAGTATGTACGACTCTAACAACGACCAAGCTAACTTGGACATGGTTCTTGACAACCTCAATGTTGACGATGAGCAGTTGGTCAATGACGATGACAACACCAACGTCATGGACTACTCCTGTGACAATGACAGCGATGAGAGTGATGTCGAGGAGCAAAGCGAAGCTCTTTCCATTGCGCCTAAGCAGCGTCATGCTTGGACGACTGCTCAAGACGTCCAGATATGTAAGTTTTGGGTGGCCGTCTCGGAAAGACCTATCGAAGGAAATTCGGTTAAATCATCTGCTTTTTGGAAGTGTGTTCTTTCCGACTTTAAGGCTGCCGGCGACCAAGCCTGGCCAGAAAGAACAGAAAAAAGTCTGAAAGACCACTGGAGAGTTGTTTCTGCTTTGGTCAGCAAGTTTTGTGGTGTCGTCGCTGCAATTGAATGACGTAAGGCAAGTGGTAAAGTTGCCGCTGACGAGGTAAGAATTATGATTAGATTTGTTTTAAAAATATTAGAATCTAGAGCAAACATTTTTATAAATAGGTGGGTGATAGCTTTAAGCTTTTTGAGCGAAAGTACCAGGTTCGATTCAAATACTTCCCGTGCTTTCAAGAGCTCAGTGGTGCCCCTACGTGGAAAAGTGAGTTGAAGTGCAGAGATCCCAAAATTAAGGCGAAGAAGCAAAAGGTTGTGAAGAGTAAAGTGGCTACCTCTTCAGCTTTACGTAGTCATGCTGATACTGATGCTGGTATGCGGGCAGCAGATAATGACGATGAGGATGTCATGAGTGACGAATCGGTTGCAGTGCGTCCTATGGGACGTAAAAAGAGCAAGAAGGATGCCGATTTGATCACGAAGTACAAAGGGCTTTTGGATAAATTGGACAAGATGCAATCACAAGGAGACGAGGACTTTAAGAAGGTCCTTGGAAAGATGGATCAAGCCCGTGAGATCCAACTTCGTCAGGTGGAAGAAGATCGCGAGCAACGTGAACGAGAAAGAGATGACGCCTTGTTCAGGATTAACTTGAAGGATTTTGAGGGTGACGAGACGGCATTGCTTTATTATAAGTTTAATCGTGAGGAAGTCTTAGAACAACGTCGAGAACGATCAAGAAAGGCAAGACTTGCCAGAGAACAATACTTCTTTTGTTTTTCTTTTTTAATCGATTTTTTTTAATTTTATAATGTGATTTTTCATTTTAGTTTGAGGGGCTTCCAAATCCTTTTATGTGCCAAAGATGGGAGACCAGGGCAGCTTTCAATCTGAAGTGCTCAGATGAGTCTATGATATGACCATGACGTTCCAAAAACCTACTGAAGCTATAATGTGAACCATCACGAGAAATGTCAGCAACCTCAGCAGGATTGGCAGAATGCATTTTATGGCATCTGTACGATCCCATATCGCTTTCGTCGCGCTCATCCTCAACAATCATGTTGTATATGATGATACATGCTTTCATGATCGTATGAAGATCACCATTTCTCCATTGTCTTGCAATATTACTAATAATGGCAAATCGAGCCTGCAACACACCAAAAGCTCTCTCCACATCCTTTCGACATGCTTCTTGTGTCTTGGCAAAGTTCTATTTAAGAGGAAGAGTCGATTAATAACCCAAATAATAAGTATTGCTAGGAGAAACAAGACTTACAGCTTCGGTATCAGGTCTAGGGACAGAATACGTCTTCACAATGTTCGCATAATTGGGGTATATCCCGTCACTAAGATAATACCCCAAATTGAAATATTCGTCACCAATGTTAAACTTGACATCAGGACCGCTTCCTTCCGTATACCTATCAAAGATTTCCGATCTGTTAAGAACATTGATATCATTGAGCGAGCCAGGCAAACCAAAATTGGCATGCCAGATCCAAAAAATCGTAAGATGCCACGGCCTCAAGAATGATTGTTGGCTTCTTGTCTTTGCCTGTATACTGCCCATGATATGCTGTTTGGCAGTTTTTCTATGCCCAGTGCATGCAATCAATTGATCCCAGCATACCAGGGAGTCCACGTTTCTAATTCTGCTCCAACAGTCTTTCCGTATCTTTCTCGTTGGGCTTTCTCAGATATTCCTCACCGAAAACATCAACGACTGCAGCACAGAATTTCTTGAGGCTCTTTATTGCAGTACTTTCGCCCAATCTCAAGTACTCATCTACTGCATCAGCACTAAAACCGTAACACAATTGTCGGAGAGCAGCAGTAGCTTTCTGCAAAGGATAAAGACCCAATTTTCCAGCAGCATTTCGCTTTTTTTGGAAGTATGGATCATGCTCGGTGGCAGCTTCCACAATTCTCATAAAAAGGCTTTTACGCATTCGGAATCGACGACGAAACTTCTTTTCACAGTAAACTGGTCTCTCGGCAAAGTAATCGTTCATAAGAAGCTGATAGCCTGCCTCACTATCTCTATTAATGACTCTACGTCCCTTGACAGAGCTACCTGTCTTTGACTTTCTCTTCATTTCCTCTAAACACATTTCAATTTTAATTAACTGAACAGCAGTGTCTATTCTACGCTTTTTGATAATTGCCATTTCGAGGGTGTCATGAACCACGTACTTTGCACTTTGCCCCTGACCACGAATCCCCGACTATTGGAATGTTCTGGAATCTCATGCTGAGATTCAACAACGCCAGTGTCCAGAACCTTCCAGGACCTTCCAAGACTATCCACGCAACGAACCTCCGCTTCCAAGAGATTAGTAATCATGACTCGTTTCCAAGTATCTCCGACGCCAAGCAATTAGTAGTCATGACTCATGGGTTTCGGCCACGTAAGCTGAAACCAACACTAAGACTAATTAAGTAAGCCAAGACATTCTTAAATGCAAACCCATGTTATCTGAAAAGATATAAATACTCCCCCTTTCCATTGCCTTCCCCGTTCGATGTCGATTATCTTGTATCCTTCCCCTTCCCTGTATAATCTATTACTATTATTAAATATTTTATAAACCACTCTTCCTTTGTCTTTGTATAACTAGTAGGTATCTTCTGATATTATTGCTATAATATAGTCCTAGCCACGTTCCTGGCAGAGGGCTGCGTAATTGTCCATGTTAAAAAGTCTTTAAGATGAGTAAAAAGTAAACTTTTTTTTGCAGGCACATACAATTAAGCTTTTAAAGTCAGTTTTTACTTTTTTTTGTCAACTGCTGGGGGTAATTTAAAACTTTTATTTAACCGCACTTTTATTTAACCGCACTTTTATTTAACCGCACTTTTATTTAACCGTTTTTTAAGCGCCACTGCTGGGGATGCTCTAACGTTTGCAGAAACATTTTTTTGTTCGAAACACGGCTCATATTTTTAATTCTACGACTTGCTAGTATAGTCAAATGTTGCTCTAATGGTATGAGTGCTTTGGAGACTGGTTCTAGTACTGGTGTATGTACTAAAACTATCAACAGAATTAACTAGACCCACTTGGTTTTATGAGTGCGCCGCGCGTTGTCCGTCCGCCAAAAATAACAAGCTGGAATGTCGACTATGTATTTATGATAAGTAACAGAAACAGGAGTTGAGTTGGCTTTTAAGGTGATACAAGCAGTTTCCAATGAATTCTAATTTCCAGAAGTTGCACCACCGTTCCTGTGATACTCAAATAACGTGTTTTTCCATTTATTAAGCCCGAAAAAGCGTTAATTGGAAGAAAGAAAATATCCGACAGTGTTGTCTATTTCGAAATCTCAAATTGAGAGCACCGTACTGTAACAAACTAGAAAGTCGTGGTTTT